CTCTTTTGAGGAGGAAACCCCTTCCCCAAACTCCCTATAGTGTCATTCTATGCTCATGTTTATACTGACCTCTGCCTTCCTGCCTGCCACACCCATCCCTGCCCTCCATTCCAGCCAAACACCCATCCTCCACAACCTCTGATCTGGGATCAGGGATCACCTATCTACAACATTTTTCCCCTCTTCTGCATGCAGCAAACTTTACTCATTCCTCAAGATCCAGAATGTGTGTCCTGTCCTCTCAGATGCCTTTCCCACCCCCCAAGAAAATCAAATGGCACCACCTTTACCTCCGCTATATCTTCCTATCTCTCTGTTGTGGTACATACAGCACCATCTTGTCACTGCTGAGAAGGTTTAACTCTTCCAATAAACACATCTGCTCAAGGACATCAGCTACATCTTATTTACTTCCATTTACTAGAAAACTAACTTAGTGCCTAACATATAATAGGTACATAGAGAATATTATATATGAAGAAATGAAAGTTTTTGCTTTCTATCAGGTACACTGAAATCTCATATACCTAATAATACCTGTCAGTAAAGCAACAGGCAAGGCTGTTACTTACTCTTACTACACTAAAGCTTCCTCCAGGCCTTTACTACTCTTCCAACCATTGGTTGTTATGAAGTAAGGAGGCCAGGTCTGGCCAGCATCATATTGGCCACATGGTAGATGGTAGGGTCTGGCATCGTCTTCTTCCTGGGGAAAGAAAACCCCCTGCCCATCACCTGCCTCCCAGGTAATGAGCATGGCTGGATCCTTGGAGGCAGAGGCAGATATGTGGTTGATAGGTTATTGAATCTATCAGTCCAATGCCTGGGACTGAGAATTTCCTGAGGATCTGCCCCCTGCGCCAACCTATTTAGGCCCGGACCAGCCTAGCCACTAGGATACCATGCCACGTATGTCTCTGTGATCGTGTCCTGTGTCCTGTCCTCTGGCTCATCTCTGGTCATCATGGAGTCCCAATTCAGCTCTCCATTGAAGCTCAATTGGCTTGCTGGTCTTGTTTTTGTTCTTTCTTTCCTCTTTAGCATGTTTCCTAGCAGTGTTATGTGTATTTGGGGGCTGCAGGCCTTTGTAACAACGGGCAGCCTGCAGCCTGTTAACTGTATAATAAAGACTCCACTATTATATATTTTAAAATGTGGCTTTTGGAATGATTCACCTTACAATAGTTAAAGCTCTATGCATCAGAAGACTCAGGTCACCAAACCACTGTGTTCTTTCCTATTTCTACTCAGAATGTTTCATCTGAACTCTAACCCTCCTCCATCAATTCAGAGAGAGCAGAGGTCACCTAGGTCTGAATGACACTCAGCAGAACTGGGGCAGAACCAATCTGTAAGGAACAAGAAACAGGCATAAACACACATACAACAGCTAAGTACTGCTACACTAAATGAGAAATGGTCATACTTTTGTCATCAAAAATAGGTTATAAAAATGATTACCTTTCCTGATCATTAGTTTTATATATTTTCCCCAAAATGAGCTAAATCATTTGCTCATACGGAAGAGGATTAAAAATCAATATTACAAAAGTCAGAGGACAACAGAGAGGGGAGAGGAGGCCATGAAATGTCAAGTGGCACTCAGTAGAATCAGAAGGAAATCTTCCAGATGAGGTCCAAGGATGTGGGGGTTTGGACACTGCATCAGAGAAGGCACCAAGGAAGAGAGGCAGCCGGCTCATCCCGTTAGCCATACACTAGGCCCCAGTGCTAAGAGGACATGCTCAGATCCATACGCCTTCACACCGCCAACCCTCCAGGGCTCTGCCCAGCAGGCTGCCAATTGCTTGCCCTTGTATTACCACCCTGAATGTGGAAGACTCTAATAGGAAAGGAAAGTCCCTAAGCCTGTTCAGATTCTTCTCCTCATTATATTCCTCTTATTTAAATGATCCAAAGTTAGAATTAAAAAGCACTTGTCAAGCCAGGTGCTGGTGGCTCACGCCTGTCATCCTAGCTACTGAGGAGGCTGAGATCTAAGGATCGAGGTTCAAAGCCAGCCCAGGCAGGAAAGGCCGTGAGACTCTTATCTCCAATAAACCACCAGAAAACCGGAAGTGGCGCTGTAGCTCAAGTGGTAGAGCGCTCGCCTTGAGCTGAAGAGCTGAGGGACAGCGCCCAGGCACAGAGTTCAAGCCCCACGACCAACCAAAAATAATAATAATAATAAAAATAAAATAAAATAATAAAAAAATAAAAGCACTTGTCAGACATACCAATTCAAAGGTAGCCACTTCCTGTAGAAGGGATGGTAACAGCATCCACCCAGGTTCTAGACGTCTACCTACGTGTGCTCACATACAGAACTTCACTGGGAAGTGGCCACAGGGCTCCATAGTCACCCATGGCAGCACCTCCTGCAGGTGAGGCCTCACACATCAGAGACCCACACCAGCCTCCTAAAGCAAAAGCAGTCATGCTGGCAGTTGTCAGGAGCATCTTGGAGGTATAAGAGACAATAGGAAGGGTCTCTGCTGCCCTCTTAAGCTGCTACGAATAGGCTGCCCTGGCCTCCCACCTGACCTCTGCTCTCACCCACACTGGAGGGCCCCAGGCAAGGGTTTCCCTGCTGAATGTAGGACCTGTGCCCAGATGCAGCTACCATAATGGAAGACCAGCAGTGGGACACAATCCTCAGAGACTATATATAATAAGGAAGTAGCAAAGCTCCTGAAAGAAAATTGGAATCCCAACTGTTGAGAGAAAAACACATCAGTCAGAAACGGGAATGCCATAAACGTTGAAACTTGCTTCACTAGTTCTCAGAATTCTAGCTCAGAGAAGGCATTATTCATAGGAATCTAAGAGAGGAAAATTCAGTAAGGATGCATTTTCTTTATTCTAATGTCATCCTTTGTTTTTTTTTTTAAACCTACACATCTGCACCAAGGGTCATCTAAGTTCCCTCCTACTTTTCCAGCAAAGTTCTTCCACCAGAGACAGTCTCAAGAAGGAAGACTTAGCCTTCTCCCTTTGCAGGTGCAGGGAAGGGAAGCTGTGATTTCCTTTTCACTGTAATTAACACATTCCAGGTGAGAATGAAAAGACAGAATACCTGTAGGCTGTGATTTTCCATCTCTAGATGACTTTTCCTGCTCATCCAAATTAATTAACCCTTCCTCTCCAGGATGAGAGTCCTTTGGTCATTAGGCGGCCTATGGAGAGGTGGTACCCTACCTGACCTTCAAAAACTAACACAAGAACTAACACCATGTCCTGAGGGCCCCTTGATTCTCATTACATCAACTGCCTCCTCACCAGGAAGCTATAAGGTTCTAAAAGCACAAGACAGACCACATACTCACTCCCATCCTTACAAACTTTTAAAAATCCTCTACTGCTTCTGAATCACTATGCCCTACCTTGTGAACTAGCTCTGCAAGGTATTTAAAGCCATCTATAACCTGGCCACAAACCTTGTTCTCCTCTCTCTATGTTCCACCACTGTCTCAGTCAACAGCTGTTTCCTTGGTTGGGAGACTACACATCTTTCAGGGCTGAGGGTAAATGCCCTCTCTAGCCCACCAACAGCTTTCTGCATTCCCACAACACCTCATCTTTGCTGTCATTTAATAGTGTCTGCAACTAATTTGACCTTGTTCAAAATTCCTGACTTAAAGTTATCTCTTCCATCCTGAGGGCTAGAAGCCTAAGTATTTATACTTGCATGGAACCAATTTAAGCCAGCAGTTTTGTTTTTTGTTTGTTTGTTTTTCTGGTCTGATGCTGGGACTCAAATTCAGTACCTGACAACTTAATTTACTGGCTAGTACTCTACCATTTGAGCCGCCCCTCCAACCTTAAACCAGCATTTCTTATAAACCCTCTGCGTGCTCTGAACATCTGCACAGTCATCAAATTGATGCGCCAAGGCCTGTACTCAGCCACCATGTCCCCTTCCTATCCTCACGTCATCCTCTCCTCCCTTCCAGGCACACCATGCTGTTTCAGGCCTCAAAGGCCACAGCCTCTGAAGCATATGTCACTAGATGCTGTTAACAGCCATTCCTTCCTGACTGCCATCAGTCCCGAGTCTGTCTGATGTCCTCTCTCCCTACAATGGATTGCCAGTGGACTGGCTCAGCAATTGCCACTTAACACAATTCAGGCCAATAGTATGAAAGAGGAATTCTGCTGATGAGCTCTGGGAAGACTGTCCTTGCTAGCAGAGACACAGGAGCTGATGGCCTTTTTTTTGTTGCTGAGTGCTGTGATTCTGAGCTTGTGTACAGACTGACACAACAGTGGTTAACAGAGAGGAAGGAAGATGAGGATGCTGGTGAACCACTTAACTGGTTCACCTTTGGTTGCTCCTAGACTTTTCATGTTAGGAAATAAACTCTGCACTTAAGCAGAAAGAATTGTGACTAATAGCTCCAATCAATTAGATGTATTAATAACAGTAACAGCAGTTAATAGCATACTTCCATGATTTGTCAAACACGTGCTAAGCTATGGATAGATATTATCTCTGATCCCCAGGGCAAATCTACATGAAAGCACAGATAAGGTGCTAAAACTGGTAAGGAGGGAGCTAGAATTTGCACCTGGGTTGCCTACCTCTGAAAATAATGCTCTCTGTGCTGTGTATTTCATGGTCTTGAATCTCAATCCTCTCTCCTCACACTGTCCTGGCACAAACAACACTCTAGCCCTTATAACTGTGAAGTTTCAGAAAAGAATGAGGCTGTCAAATGATCTGATTCCCTTACTATAGAAACTCAAGAACCACAGGAAGGAAAACACATGCAAAGGTAGTAAAGTCATCAGGGATAAAGTCAGGGCTGGAAGAATCCAAGCTCCTGATTCCTAGGAAGACATCTTTTCCACCAACATGAAGCTGAGTACATCCAGTGGCAACTGGGTACATCTAGTGGCAACTGGAACCACCAAGACTTCTGGCAAGTCAAGTTCCAGGGCCTGACCTCTACCTCCAATAGTTTTACACAAACTGTCAGACCAGCTTGGGCTGTACTCACCAGGCGCACAGAATGCCTCTTGTCACGATTAGTGTCACTTGCCCCTGGAGACAGTGGGGCCTTCAAGAGCTTCGAGGCTGCCTCTCTTTCCCTCTTCACCACCTGGAACAGCTCATCCTGGACTGCAGCCTGCTCCTCTTTGAACCTAGGCCAGAGGAGAGAGAAAAGTAAATGCAGACAGCATGGCTGGAAGCACACTGGCAGTAAAAAGTCTGTATGTTCACTTCAGTTAGCCAAGTGAAATTGGGACTGTGGAACAACTGAACTCTGAGGCTGGCCTCTGGCTGGCCAGGAAAGGAAAAAGGCTAAGGAACTGCTTGTCCATCATCTAACCACTAAGATCAGCCTCCTGACAGCAGCAAAGGCCAGGGAATAGTGGCACTTTCTCAGCTAAGAAACACAGATCAGGCACAAAGTAGAGTTGGCCACCAGTCAAGGATGCTAGCACCATATGTCCTGTGAGAGTCTCCGAGCAGGGACTGATTCTCATGGGAGCCACTCCCGCAGGAGGATGACAGAGGGGAAGCTTCACTTTCCTTTGCCTCCATTTGAAAAACTACAGGTAGCAGTCCTGTGTTTTAAACATTTAGCTCTTCATTCTAAATATGCTCCTATCTTGGACCTATTTCTGATTATTCTGCCTCATAAAAGCTATGTAGAGAAAAAAATACTAGTAATAAGATATTCTTAGCAGTATTACCTGTTATACTAAAGAAAATGAAAGCAACCTAAATATTCAACAATCAAAGTCAAGTTATCAAAAATAAAGCATAACCAATAACAATGGTGTATTATAGCACCAATGATAAATACATTTAAGCCAGGCTCATGTCTGTAATTCTAGCTACTCAGGAGGCTGAGATCTGAGGATTGTGGCTCAACACCAGCCCAGGCAGAGAAGTCCATGAGATTGTTATCTCCAATTAACCACCAAACAGCTGGAAGTGGAGCTGTGGTTCAGTGGTACAAAAAAACTCAGGGAGGGCTGGGAAGGTGGCTCAGTGGTAGGGCGCTTGCCTTGCATGCCTGAGGCCCTGGGTTCGATTCCTTAGCACCACATAAGCAAAAAGAAAAAAGCTGGAAGTGGCTTTGTGGCTCAAGCGGTAGAGCGCGAGTCTTGAGCTGAAGAGCTGAGGGACAGCGCCCAGGCCCAGAGTTCAGGCCCCATGACCGGACACACAAAAAAAAAAAAAGCTCAGGGATAGCCCCAGGACCAGCACCAAAAAAAAGAAAGAAAGAAGGAAGGAAGGAAGGAGGAAAAAAAGAAAAGAATCTTAAAAAATACATTCAATGACTTATCTAAAGGTTGAATCTAAAAAATAAGAGTCAACAATATGTTTAGCCACAGAAATATTTATAAATCAGATGTAACTAATGTAATAGAATTATAATAGTAAGAGAAAATAGCAAGCCACAAAATCACAAGGGAGAGAAGGTATGTGAAAGAGACGTTTCAAATTATCAACATTGGCTGAACTGAGATAATGAGTCTATGGGGGATTTTCTATCCATTTTACGTATTTTCAAAATTTTTCATTAACTCATGTTACTTTAACATTTTTTAAATGTTTAGAAGATAATCAGAAGGGGGAATAATTATTCCTAGAGAGAGCTCTTAGGGTTATGGAAGATAAACTCTGAGAATGTCAGCTAACCTTCCAGAGGAGCAAACCCTCAACTGTGGCTGACACTGAGCCTTGTAGGCTTCATCTGTAGCCCTCTGACCACACAAGAGAACTCCATCAAGAATGCTGATAAAGTCAACAGTCACTGAGAACTCAGTATGTAGATACTACACTTACACTCTTTATGTGCATCAGGTGATCTATTCATGACAAGATTCTAACTGAAGTAGTTTTCTTCTTAGCCCTTCTTAAGTTCAGATGATAACCGGTGAGTTACAGAATCAAGAAGCCACCTCTCTGCACTAACCATTCTTCTACATGTTTTCAGGGGACAGAAAAAAGGTCCCACTTCAGAACTGTGGCTAACTCTCAGGATCGTTGCCTAATGGGAAGTCACCATCAGTTAGAAATGAGAGGGTTCTACTGTCTTACCCCTCTAAAACACACACCTACTGGTCTATCGCTGCACAGACAGGCTAGCCAGTTGGTTATTCTGTTCTAACTTCTAAAAGAGGTTCTTAAGAACCCATTTTTAAAACCAACCATAGTGGAATAATCCCAGTGTTTGAACGTTTAAAGATCACAAGTTGGGGATTATCCTGAGCTATATATCAAGATCTGGTCTTAAAAACAAACAAAAATAACTCATTTTTAGAAATCAACTCCTCTGCTGAGCACCAGTGGCTCATACCTATAATCCTAGCTACTCAGAAGGCTGAGATCTAAGGATCATAGTTTGAAGCCAGGCCAGGCAAGAAAGTCCATGAGACTCTTATCTCCAATAACTACTCAAAAAAGCTGGAAGTGGCACTGTGGTTCAAGTGGTAGAGCACTATCCTTGAGCAAAAGCAGCTCAGGGACAGCACCCAGGCCCAGAGTTCAAGCCCCAGAACCAACAAAAAGAAAAAAAGAAAGAAATCAACTCCCCATACCCTTTTGGGTGTTTCTTCACCTTTAAACTAAAAATGGTGCTACTGGTACCATAGAACTGTCCTTCAACACAGACAAGATAAACCAGTGAGACAGGTCCCGCAGGGTTTCAGACTAGTGGAAGGGACCCAGGGAGGAATGAGGCTTTCAGTGGAACACAGTAGGCACTCAGGCTCACCTCTTGAACTCCTCGGTCACCTCTGAAGGATGCCGGAAACCACCAGGCTCTGACCTGGGCAGTTTGAATTCTGTAAAAGAAAGAGAAAAAGGGCCTGTCAGGAGCCCCAGGGCCAATCAAGGTACAGAACTCACCCAAACAGCAGCTCAGGATCATGCTCCCTCTGAAGACCACATCCTGCACAAAAATAGATAAATCTTCACAGGAGAGCAAGCTCCAAGGACAGGCCAATGAGGTCCCATGGTAGATGAGGAACAGATCTTTACTAAACTAATATGGAAGCCCAATGGACCCTAAGGCTCCTCTTGCCTGGAAGGAATCTATTTTGGACCATGACGCTTATGACACGGACTGGCAGCAGGCAAAACCACTTAAGTATAGTGTCACTCACTGGACAGTTACTTGGAATCTAGGTCACCTCCTAAACACAGACAGATATGGCTAAGGGAAACCACTGCTCTGCTTGGTGAGGAAGCCTTAGAGGTCTCAGTCTGGGCAGGAAGCAGCACTATGCAGATGCAGGTGGCTCCTTATACTGTTTCCTTTAGTTCCCACTACAGTTTGAATGTTCTCCCTCTCCAAAACTTATGATGAGATGTAATTGCTATCTTCATAGTATTAACAGTTGGGGCATTTGGGGAGTAATTAAGTTTAGATGAGACCATGTGACTTTATAAGAACAAGATAGATCTGAACTACCATGCTATGCCAACTCCATATAATGCCCTCTGCTACCAGGACTCTACCATACCCCAACAAAGCTCTCACCAAATGCAGCCCTTGATCTTGGGACTTCCTAGCATCCAAACTGTAAGAAAAAAAAATTTTAATAAATTCCCCAGTCTGGAAGTGATGCTGTGGCTCAAGTGGTAGAGCGCTCGCCTTGAGCTGAAGAGCGCAGGGACAGCGCCCAAGCTCAGAGTTGAAGCCACAAAATAAATAAATAAATAGATAAACAAATAAATAAATCCCACAGTCTGTAGTAGCAACAGAAAAGAGACTCAAACAGTATCCTATTCTTAGCTTTCTAGTACTGAGTGTTGCAAACATATGCTCCTTACACTTTGTTTCCTTTAGTTCTTACTATAGTTTGAATATTTTCACACGTTCACATATCCATCCAACCTGATTAAACTTCAACCTGTATTTTTTCTAGTATTACTGGGTTGTTTAAGTTTATCAACATTTTCATAATCACTAATCTGGGAACTTTTGAGCAAATTCAATGGGCTGTCACTTGGTGACAACGAAGGTTGTTTTTTTTTATTGTCTGTTTGTATGTTTGTTTACTATTGCCATCCCCTAGCTTCCTCCTCCCAAAACTTTGTTGGCCAAAGCTCAACACCTTTCTGTGGCCTTCTCTGATGCTGTATGCCTCCTGCGGTTCCCAACACAGCAGTAGTTATAACTGTACACAGTATTACAAAAGAACCCAATTCAACTCCCAGACCTGTCAAGAGTCCTGCCAGGGACATACATCCAAAAGTGGGCAGGCCACTCTCACTTTCTCATGTTTGGGTGGCTCTCAACTGAAACCGAGCAAACTAAAACAATAGCAACAGTATCAACAACAAAAACAAAAAAGAGAAAATCACTGCCAGAATTTTGTTCAGATGTTAACATTTCTCTTGCTCCTTGTGCCCTCCCTCTTTTCATGTCTCTCTCCCTCTGCTCTTTAAGGCAGGGTCTCACTATGTACCCGAGTATCACATAAAACTATGTTCATCCTACCTTAGCTTCTCTAATGTACCACCATGCCCAGCTAATGTGCTTTTATTTATTCATTTTTAAATTTATAATAGTTCATTGAGGTATAAATTACAGAATTTGCTTTTGCCTTTGATGTAACTGTCCTTTGTCGTAACAAAAATAACACAGTTACCCACAGTAGGGAAAGTGGCAGTAGTCCACACTATGTCCTTGCCTGTGGCACCTGCCGGCTTCCCTGTTTCCTTGGTAATGTACATTTCTTAGTCTATGTTTCTTAATTATTAGTGACTGTGAGATCTTGTCATAAACATCTAACCAGGCCAGGCGCTGGTAGCTCACATCTGTCATCCTAGCTACCCAAGAGGCTGAGATCTGAGGAGCAGGGTTCAAAGCTAGCCTGGGCAGGAAAGTCCGTGAGAATCATCTCCAATAAACAAGCAGTAAAAGCCCGAAGTGGCACTGTGGCTCAAGTGGTAGAGCACTACCCTTGAGCTGAAGAGCTGAGAGACAGCGCCCAGGCCTAGAGTTCAAGCCCCAGAACCAAAGGAAAAAAATAATAAATAAATAAATCTAACCAGATCTTATTAATCTTGCTTTCTTAAAGGTCTTTAGAACACATTGTAGACTGAGATTATAGAAAATGTAATGTTTTTCCTAGCTCACTATCCTTCCTTTATTTTTCCCATATTGTCTCTATTTTCTTATTGTCAAATTCCCACATTTCTTAGTTTAGTTTCTTGGCATACTGCTTAGAAAATCTTCCATATTGTATTTTAATGGCTTCAATTCTTATATCTGGGATATGGTATGAGATAAGATTTTAATTTTAACTTCTTTTCCTAACCCATTTCATCATTAAAATATTGCAAAAACAGATTTTAAAATTTAAAGATATCTTAAAATTAATCCATTTCAAGACAGCTCATTTATATTGAATCTTCTTCCACATTCAGAAACTCAAACTCACTCTGTCGGTCATTGTGCTATAAATAAAGCCAAATAACAAATGGCCATTATCCCTTTTAAACTGCTGCAACTTACCAAATTAAAGCAAACACTTCTTTTATCTCCCAAAGCTGAAACTAATGTAATATACCTTGGCAGTTCTCATTTCCTATCACTTCTCCTCACCCCTCACCAGTTAATCTACAGTTTATTTAAGCACATTGGATCAAGTTACATCCCTCTTGGTTTCACCTATCCATGGCTAGAAAGACCATAGACAGTAAGCCTTCTTAGTTAAGACAGAAATATTTTCAAGAATCTCACTCAGGGCCAGAGTATAGCCAACTGCAAATCAGAGAAAGCGAGCCAGAATGCCCTGGACAGTAGGTCTATCCCTACCACAGCACAAAGATTTTTTAAAATTTTTTTTTTTCATTTAGCCCATTTGAAGAGTGGGTCGGAATCCAGCTACTGACTGGACGATAGCCAAGGCCTGTGGGAAGCCCTGAGGCAGACATCACAGGACAAAGGCAGAGGTTTCATGCATGGCCAGAGCCTCCTGTCCTTCAGGACACAGCCAGGGTTCTCTGGCCGCTGAGTGGATGCATCTATGTGTTGCTCAATGCACATCACACCAAGGTCTCTCCATACGCTGGACATTGTATTCCAAAGATAACTGCTAGGTCTGCAAAGAAGCCAGGCTGCACCATTCCTCTGGGTCTCTGCTGCTACATTCACCTGTAAAATCCCATCTTTCACCATCCTTTTTCGAAATCCAGGCAGTTCCTGTGCTACCCCTAACCCCAAGTTTCTAGAATTGCATCACTACACAAAATCATAACCATCATAACCTACTTCGGTTTGCATCTGGTCCCTTAACCAGAGTTGTGCACTCTTGCATTCATAAATTAATCATTCCTTCCTTTGTACCACTAACTGTGTCATACAGTAAAATATTTGTGTTTAGCTAGTGAAGATGCACCTCCAGGGATGGACTTGTGAGTGCTCTAAGACAGAGGTCCTATCCACCCGCCCTGTGTCCTGGCATGAAACCTAAGACAAGATTCACAGATTGCATTCTGGAAGTGCTACTGGACAGAAAACAGCTCTTACCACCTAGCAGAGAACATTGGATGAAAAAAACACCATTGGGCTGGATGTGGTAGTGTGCACCTATACTCTCAGCTACTCAGGAGGCACAGCTAGGAGGATTATGGTTAAGGCCAAGCCTGGCAAAATGTCCATGAGACCCTACCTAAACCAATAAAAAGCTGATGTGGTCGTGTCTATCATCCTAGTTAGGCAAAAAGTATAAATAGAAAGTTCACCATACAAGGCTAACCTTGGGCAAAACCATGAGAACGTAATACAAATAAGGACTAGGAATGTGGCCAAAGTAGCAGAGCACCTGCCTAGCAAGCATCCTGAGATTAAACCCTATTACCACCAAGATAAGAAGAAAAAGACAGCACTCTGTAAGGCCACATGCATAACCAACACTACATACATGTTACTCCTGCTGTAGTTTATCTGAGGCGGTGACATAGCTCTCCCAGCCAGGAGATTCTTATGAGTAAGTATTTATTAAGTAGAACAGTAATTACTCCATGGACTGTAATACCTTAATATTTCCATCCTTAAGAGCCCCCTTTAGTAATTTCTTTGCTTGTTTTTTGTGGTTGCTATAGATAATTAGTTGGGGAAGAGCACAAGCTTCTGTATTTGTAACAGGTACAACAAAATAGGAAACAGCACAGGTGCTGGCTGCTGAGGGTGGGGGAGGAAGAGCCCCTAGAACCCCTATTGGAAGCCAAGTCAAGAGCAGGACCCCCTGACAAGGTTATGTCTGCTAAAGATGGCATCAAGGCCATTCATTCATTATTTGGCCCAGTTCTCATAGACCTCTCTTCCTTTTCTGCAACTGAACCCTCACTCATGCTAGGCAAGTGCTGTACCGTTTGAGCTATGCTGTCAGCACTTTTGCTTTTATTTTGAGATAGAGTCTCAGTATCTTTGCCTAGGCTGGCTTTGAACTCACCATCTTCCCTCTCTGTCTCCCCAGTAGCTTGGATTATAGGCATGCCTCATTACATCTAGGTGCCTCACATTATAACGTGTACAGAGAACCTGAATCACAGTGAAAGGAAGCAACCTGCCCCCAAAGCCACACAAACACTGGCGGTACTGAGCCTCAAGTGTACCAGACAGTATCTGTCACGGATGGAAAGCCCCTCCCTCCTGGAAAGTGATTGCTTATGTTAGATCTTTAAAAAGAGATAGCCAAGTAAGAACAGCACCACGCATGTGGTATTCAGGTAAGGGGTAGGTTTATTTAGTAGACCTGCTGAGACCAGGACAGGTTTGCACTCCATGTGGCTAGGAAAGGCCTGGAAAAGACCTGAGAAAGAGAGAGAGCTGGGAAAAGAGGTGGGAAAGAGCTGGGAAAGAAGTGGGAAAGAGAAGAGAGCTGGGAAAGAGCTGAAAAGGAAAAGAGCTAAGAAAGAGCGTCTGGGCCTGGGCTAGGCCTTATCTAGGGTATGGGCGGAGAAAGATGTGGCCACATCAAATTCAGATGTGACCTCAGCGGATGCAGATGCGACCTCTTCCAGGTGTGCCAGTTGCCTAGGTAACGCAGGTACTGGGTGGAAACTTTGCTGCGAGGAGGGTGGAGTCTTCTCGCCATCCAGGAGCCGACCTTACAGCTTCCACCACCCAGAAGCAAACAGGTGTACATGCTTTATCCCTCTGCTCCCATTCTGCCCAGCACAGCTGCGCCCACTGTACCTTTCTGAGGGATTGTAAAGCTGCCTTCTGAGGGGCCACGTGTAGTAGGTAGACAAGTAGCAGGTGGATGAGTAGAGAGTGGAGGTGTAGGGGGCGAAGTCGCCGCAGGTGGAAGCGTAGTGGGTGGAGGCGGCATGGGTGGAGGCGCCATGGGTGGAAGTTCGGTGGGTGGAGGCTCGGTGGCTGGAGGCTCCGCGGGTGGAGGCGCCATGGGTGGGGGCGCGGTGGGTGGAGGCGCGGTGGGTGGAGCAACTGGCTGCTGCCCTTCTGAAGGCTCCCCAGAATCCTTCATGCGGTTGACCACACTTTCAGACAGCTAAGGGAAGAGACATTGGAACCAGAAGACAGGAAAAAGTTACATCACAGAAACCTCTGGAAATTAAGACCCCCCCCCTGCCCCTGTAAAATTCACACCCCAGATTTACTCAACGTTTCCTTAAAACCAATAATATACTCAAAACTTTTCATGTTGGCCCAATGCCTACCAGACAATCGTCAAACTCATCTGGGATGCCAAGCCTAGCCTCAGGTGTCCCACGGGCTCTGCGCCCTCACCTCTGGTCACTCTTCAACAGAAACCCTGTGACTGAATTCTCACTCTCCTGTGTGAGTGCTCTGAATGCACCCACACTGGCCTTCTAAACACACCAGCACAACCTCCCACCGCTGGTACATCACCACCAGTCTAATGCACCTTCCTTTAAGGGCAGCTTAGTGTGTCCTTCTCCAGGGAACTTCTCCATTGTAAGTGCAACTTGGTCCCTGCCTTCCCTTCAAGGCCTTTGCAAACAACTGCACAGGGACAGGCTGCCCTTCCCACTGAGCTACCCTTCCCGTTTGTAAACACCTTGCCAGCTACGCAGCCCTGGTCTCTATGCCCTCCAGCGCCACACAGAGCAGATAATCAAAACATTCCTTGACTCATTTCACCTTAGTTCCCCTAATGAAGATCAGATAAGCAAATGCTCACTCACTTTAGAGGAAGTAAACTAGGCATAAGGGTGTCATAAAACAGTTTACTGAAATAGAATGGCAAGCTAGCGATACATCCAGAATAAAAATCCTTAAGGTTCACTTCAGTAAATATTTATTTATTAAGTGTCTTATATGCACAAGAAATCCTAAAGCACAGGTGAGAGAAAGACATTAAAGATGACTTAAGATGAAAGACATGATCAGCACCTCTACTACCAGATACCTAAAAGAGAAAGGATCCCCTGTGTACATACAGGCATGGATTAAGGATGCTCACTGTGGTACTGGTAGAAATTTTTTTAAAAAATAAGCCTAGAAAATTATAAACATCCAACAATACTGACCTGATTAAAGAAATCATACTGCATCATTCTATGAAATACTATGCAGGAATTAGGAAAGAACAAAATAAGACATGTACACAAGCCGGGCGCCAGTGGCTCACACCTGTAATTCTAGCTACTCAGGAGGCTGAGATCTAGGGATTGTAGTTCAAAGCCAGCCCGGGCAGGAAAGTCTATGAGACTCTTATCTCAGAAAAAGCTAAAAGTGGTACATGTTGTTAGCCTTGAGCACAGAGAGGTTCAGGGACAGAGTCCAGGCCCTGAGTTCAAGCCCCAGGACCAGCAAAAAAAAAAAAAAAAAAAGACATACACATGACCAGGTATACAGATTACAGGTTATGATAAAATCACACAACTCTTAGTATAAATTTTGTTAAAATACGTAAACACCTATAAAACACCTATAGACCTCCAAACAAATCTAATGAATGTGAATATGCATATATCCACATTTACAAATGCAAAGATGAATCTGAGTTTTCACACCTATGCATACAAGCCTCCACAGGACCAGCTGAGCGGCAAAGCCCACAGGCTCCTTACCAGAGCTCACAGGGTTCCACGCAGCAAGTGGGGCAGAGGTAGCTGAGGCAGGACTTTTGCTTTGGGGCATTTTGAGTCAGTTCTTTTTATTTTATTTCCTCTGTATGCATATGTGCTTGTGCCTTGCAGGGTTTTTTAATCATAAACATTTCTTTTAGTAACTAAAGATAATAATAATAATTGGATCATTCTCGTTTTTAGGCTACAAACCAAATAGCTAATTCATGATACAGAACAGAAGACTAAAAACATATACCTGTATTAATAGAAGAGAAAATATCCATGGTCAATGGATTTTCTTTTTTGTTTGTTTGTTTGCCAGTCCTAGGGCTTGAACTCAGGACCTGGGCACTGTTCCTGAGCTTCTTTTGCTCAAGGCTAGCGCTCTACCACTTGAGCCACAGTGCCACTTCTGGCCATTTCTGTTTATGTGGTATTGAGAAATCAAACCCAAGGAGAGTGCTAGGAAAGCACTCTACTATAAGCCACATTCCCAGCCCTGTCAACTGATTTTCACCAGGAGTACTGCTATACATTGGCTATGGTTTGAGTTTGTCTCTTGGAGTGTTCCTGTGCGGGAAGCTGGTTCTTCAGTGTGGTGACACTGAGTGCTGATAGGACCTGTAAGAGACAGGGCCTAGTGGGAGGTCATCACTGACCCTCTTTGCTCTTTGCCTTACCCTCTGGTGGGGTGACTACCCTCTCTCTTTTCCTCTCTCTCATTTCCTGCCAACACCGTGGTACTACCTGCCATGAGGTGATGCAGCCAAGCTGGCACCATGCTGCTTGACTTCAGCCTCCAAAACTATGAGCTAAATAAGCCTAGAATGCAGGTGGTAAACTAATTCAACGGGGAAAGGATAAATAGTGTAAGGACAGCTGATATCCCCATGCCAAAGAGTAGTTGGGCCCTTCCATTATTTAACACAAAAAACCAAACTCAAAGCAGACCGGCAAACAAAATTAAGAAAACCTAAGGTACATAGATCTTAATGTCATTGGTTTGGCAATAAATTCTTAGACAGGACCCCCAAGTGAAAGCAACCAATGAAAAAAATAAATACACTGGATTTCATCAAAATTAAAGTTTTGCTTATCAAAAGATACAACCAAACAAGAATTCAACCCAGAGAAAGGAGAAACTGAATGAGAGTTTGTATGCAAGCTATATTATAAACTCCCTTAACTCATGATCAGAGAAAACTAGCTAGACGCTGAACATCAGGACTGGGTAAATGCCCTCAACAGCCCACATGCTGGAGGCTGGTTCCCCAGGGGGGCACTTCTGGGAGACAGTGGATCTGTTAGGAGGTAAGAGCCTAGTAGAAGGCCTTGTTATTAGAATATGCCCTCAAAGAGGTCATTAGGACCCCAGTCTCCTTTTTCTACTTGTTTTCTGGCTCTTGGTGAGTAGTTTTGTTCTACCATATATATGCCACTCCTGTCATAGGCCCAAAGCAATGAGACCAAAGAATCATGGAATGGAACCTCCAAGCCTGTGAGCCAAAACAAAATTCCCTCTTTATAAGTTAATTGTCTCAAGTATTTTGTTACAGCAATGACATGCTGAATAATACAAAGGGTAAAAGATCTAAACAGGAATTTCTCTGAAGAAGATACATCAACAGCCACAAGCACATGAAAAGATGTTCAATATTAGAAAAAACACAAAAATCAAACCACAATGAGCTGGGCGCCCGTGGCTCATGCCTGTAATCCTAGCTACTCAGGAGGCTGAGATCTGAGGATCACGGTTCAAAGCCAGCACAGGCAGGAAAGTCCATCAGACTCTTATGTCCAATAAACCACTAGAAAACCAAAGTGGCGCTGTGGCTCAGGCGGTAGAATGCTCGCCTTGAGCTGAAGAGTGCAGGGACAGCATCCAAGCCCAGAGTTTAAGCCCCACAACTGATAAAAATAAATAAATAAATAAATAATACATACTAGCAAGAATATAGAGAAATCAGAACCATTATTCATTGTTGCCTCAAGCTTAGAGTAATGGAAAGACTTAAGAGTTGTTAGTGATGGGGCAGGATTGTGGAGGTTTTTTTTTTTTTTAAGGGGGGGGATGAAAATGTTAGGAAAGTGATGGTGGTTATAGTTACACAAACCTGGATATATCTCAATAGTAGAGAATTTGCTTAGCATGCACAAAGCCCTGTATGGTGTGTTAGTTATATTCAAAGTTAAAGAGGGGACGAATAAGAAATAAACACCAAACACCAAAGAAAAAAAATCAACAGCTCAGACAGGCTGTCACTCAGAAATACCAAAAGAGGATATTTTAGCAGTGGTACCTGCCAAGGGAAATAAGCCTGTATGGGTTCCTGACACCCGGCAGGGGTCAGGAGTAGTGAAGGCTAGAATGTAACACAGAGCAGGACAGGGCACAAAGGATGCTGTCATATGGGAAGTAGACCTAGCAAGAGAGACCAGCACTCCTGTAGCCCTAAGTTCAACTTGGAAGGCATGGTTGTAAAGGTGAACCTAACACAGAATGAAGCTTCACATGGTATTCATGGAAAGCAGCTTAGTGTAGGGAGATGTCTAAAGCTTCTGAACAAGGAAATAATATAAGGAATACTTTTAGAAGTTGAATCAACAGTACATAAGGAGTACAAAGGAGTGGGGAACGTGCCCTTGGTAGTGAGGTGACAAAGGCAGCGGCAGCAGCTTACAACAAAAGGTTTGCATGGTGGTGGCCTTGACTACAAAGATGAATGAGAGGGCAGAGTTACTAAGGAAGACTTCTGATCCTAAGTTAGTGGAACAACTTGGGTGAATGGCAGAAAAGGGAAATTAAGAACAGAGAAACTATTTTGAGAAGTTTGCACATTAGTCTGAATACATAAAAAAGCACAGATTATAAAAGGAAAAAAGCCTTCAAGAGTTCATTGGTTTGCCCCATTTTTGAGCTACAGCAACAAAACACTGTAATGGCACGTGGGAAAGTGAAAAATAAGCTCTAAATCGCGGCCCAACCCCTCCATTTTGTGGAACCAGCCATACAGGAAGGCAAATAAAACCTCTTGGAAGAGAATGTTTTTCCAGGTAAGTAGGGACCTGAACTGGTGCTCAAGGAGCCAGCTCAGTGGAAGATTTGGGCACCCTACCATTGTGCTACAACTGGCTGAACAGGACTGACTTCTAAACTTCAGGAAATTTTGAAAGCTGGTTAACTTTAAAATGGCAGTTTAAAATTGGCCCTGGTAAGGAGAATTTTCACCATGGAAAGTGGCGAATACTACAGATCATAGTCATTTCTTGTGGTTTGGATAAATTGTTAGAAATTCACTAGCACCAGCGGGGCACAGGGTTGGCTTATCATCTCAGCAACGTGGGAGGCAGAGCTTGAGAGGATTTGGTTCAAGGCATGTCTGGGCAAAACCTAGCCATCTAACCCAAAACTTGGGTAGGTGGTGGATGCCTGTTACCACAGCTGCGTGGGAAG